AGAGGAGTGAGGGAGAGCTGTGGAAGAAGTTTTCACTTTATATCTGAGCTAAAAAGAATGAAAACAGCAGAACAAACTTTGACATCCTTGAAGCCGCCACTAACGCGGATAAGCAGTTGCTGACTGGCGACGCAGAACGTGAGCGAGCCCTGAGGCAAACCGTGCGATGCTGAGAACAATTCGATTGTGGTTGGGTAGACGTGCACCTTAACGTCATCCAACTTTGAAAACGAACAAATTTTTTTGCTTATTTACTAATGTTCCAAAATCTTGCTAACTCAAAAGAAATATAAAGCATTGCAAAAAAAAGCAGGAAAACGAAGAATTTACGAGTGTTTTGATAAAATTTAAAAATAAAAAAGCTTGAAGATTATACCCCTCCAGGAGCAATGTGCTGTGGTGGTGGATAAACTGGCGATGGTGGTCCAGGCGGTCCAGGAGGTCCTGGTGGCCCATACGGACCCGGTATTCCTGATGTTCCTGGCGGTCCTGCTGGCCCCGGCGGTCCTGATGGGCCAGGCGGTCCCATTATACCCATTGGGCCTCTTTCACCTGAAAAAACAATTCATCTATTGTGAGACTAGCATATTTCATTGATTGTGTCTTTAGTTTAATCTGTACTAGCTGAACCTTTTTCGCCCTTTGTTGTGAATCGGTGTCGCTGTGGGTCATACGGAGGGAGCTCTCCAGGACGATAAATAGGCTCTCCAGGAAGACATTCTCCCTTTTCACCCTAAAAAATTCCACAGTAACTGTCTTCATAAATCGGAGCAAGTTCAATATCAAAACTGTAAAAAGTTGAAAATATGAAATGAAAAACTGCATTTCTATTAGAATTTGTCACAAAATAAAGCTCTAACCTTAACACGTGGATCTCTAATAATTCGCTCAAGATCATCGGGGTGTAATCGTTCACAACGGCCGGGCACACCAGGTTCGCCCGGATATCCAGGTGTTCCAACGCCCGGAGGGCCGGGCGGACCTTGTGGTCCTGCAATTTTATTTGTGTAAACAGAAAACAGTTCCCAATTATTAAATTAGAAATCTCTTCAACAAAAGTACTGCAAAAATTAACCCATTGGTCCAGGTGGTCCTTGAGGTCCTTCAGGGCCCGTAACAATTTGACCGCCATCCAATCCCTCACGTATCACTTGACCAGGTTGTCCAGGCGGCCCTTGTGGTCCCTGTGGACCCACAGGTCCGGGGCTTCCAGGCCTTCCAGGCACACCATCACGTCCATCGCGGCCTGGCTGGCAATCAGTCGGACACTAAAAGATACAAAATATCAAATTTTAATGAACGCAGCACAAGTCTTAAAATGTGTATCGCACCAAGTACTAATGAATCCCTACATGCTCTTAAGGATTTCGCAGGAAGGAAGCAGGCGAAACGAATGTCAAAGCTACCGACGACCACGTGATGAGTTAAAGAAAACAGCCATGAAGATAGCTTAACCAGCGGGAAGGTGCCTCACAATGAACATTGACACTGACCCAGATAATGCAAAAAGACTTTAAAAGGCTAACCATTCCAGGAGGTCCTACTGGACCGGGTGGACCCGGCTGCCCTGGTTCTCCTCTATCGCCTTTATCGCCCTTCTCGCCTTTTTCCGGTTTTTCTAAAAATTTGTCTTTTTTTTATTACAATGATTGCTTCGCAAATTTGAATACCGCACAGGGCGCCTTGCGCAAACTTCTATTTTAAACTTTACACAATACTTTATTTTAAATCAGCCACTTTCTTCCTCGGTATTGCGAGTGCAATTGCGTAGGAGCGACAGCAAGGCAGAAGACCAAATGAAACT